TAGAGGTGATTGCTCCCTCTTCTTGATAAGGTCTTGGGCAGTGTGGCGCCTTCGATTTGCCCTTTCTTGCCACATTTTGGCTCCAGCAGTCATTGCAAAGGGTGAAAACACTGGTAAAATGAATGCTGAAGCCTTAAAGGAGGAATTCACGATTAGAATGAAGGTCGAAGAAAGGGAAACTGACCTAGTTGAGGGACCCACGGACCTCCTGAGGGTGCGAACTGACGCGCAATTCGCATGGAAAAATTTGACCTCGGCGACCTATCATGCCTCAAAGCTGGCGGGTCCGGCGATCTCCGCCCACCGATCATCTGATCACTCGCCGTAGTTCAATACGTGGCGAGTGATTAGATAGCTGAGAGAGCGTAGTGTTGAAGAGGGCACAGCGATGAGAGTCGCATCAATGCTCGAATCAACGGGCAAGGAAGGGGTACCATTTCTCGGGTTCTGGGCCGTTTCTCATGGTTCTTCCTTCTTTCGTGTACCACTCACCATCCCTAGGTTAATTTGAAATGGGTTGCTTTTTCCATCGTGAATTCGTCCTTGATGTTCGGCCAATGAAGCTTCTGCTCCAACAACACGTCTGCACTCACAAATGGTCGCAAGCATATGTATAAGATAGATAAATTTTCATTTTGTGTTGCACATGACTAGGAGGCATCGTGGTGTCCCTTGACTATGCAGTGTACACTGCCTTATTTAGAGCAAGTCCCCCAAACCAGATTTTCGGGTTCACAGCGATCGATAATGGAGTTGTGATGCCGTGTTGACTAAAAATGAAAAAAGAAACAAAGAAAACCGCCGATGAAGCCACCTACTCCCTCTCTTCCTTATTGAAACGAGGGATGGGGCGTGTCGGACGGGTGTTCCTGAACTTGCTTGCTCCACGGTTTCACCAACCCCGCGCGTATTCGAACTAGTCTCATGGGGTGTGCGCCAGGTATCTCGTTCACAAGCTAAGATTAGTCGCCAATTTTATTTTGTGAAGTCCTAACGCCATTATCGCGCACTTTCAAGTCGCGGCAGGGGCCTCTCTGTGACACACATGGGCTGCGCGGCTCACCCACATAATAGGTTCTTACATGAGCTCTGCAGGGTTGTTTCTTCAAGGATGCGGACAGGTGATGTGGTCGCGTGAGCTGTAGGGCAGAACCACGCCTTCAAGCTCCACCTTTGATCAGGGAGATCGCACGGTCACTGTTAAATGTCATACAACAACAAAGTACACACATGACTCGCAATGGGAGGCAAATGCGTGGCGCATCTTGAAGGTTTCCACCAATGCCGCTCAATTCGTAAGGTTTTTCTTCAATTGTTGTTCAACCCAATGTGAAGCAAACTCACTTCGTCCTCTTCAGAAGCTGACGTCCAATCGACGTCCTTCTGGAATTTCTTGGTATTTTCGGACTTTGTGATCTAAAAGAAGGATTTCAGCTGATGTCACTGTTACTTAGTAATGGCTCCCACAGCACGCCACCGTGCTACTCCTTTCCCACCTTTACCTTACCTGGGCTTCCTCAAAAGGCTTTCGGAAAGAACACTGATCACGAGAAACAAAATTCCGTAAATGTTCTGAAA